TTCATCAGTAAACTGGACAATTGTTTACAAAGAACTTGGCACATTATAAATGCTCAATAAATCTTAACTATTGATTCCAAGATATCAAGGGGCAGCAAGCAGATGAAATGAAGCTGAGACAGGATCCCCAACACCTACTACTGAGTGCAGTTTCCATACCAGCAGCCTCAGCACCACCAGGGACTTTGATAGTTTGTTAGAAGTTCAGAATCTCGGTACCCCCCAAGACCTGGTGAGTCAATCTTGGGGGTAGATTTATTTGCACATTAAAGCTTGAGAAGCAGGACTCTTGCTGCTCACATAATTTTAAATAGGAATGCATATTGGCTGATTTTAATATACTTTAGCCTGACAAGGGAGGTCTTCATACTTTCCCTCTAAAATGATGAAAACGCAGTTACCAAGCAATGCCTATGGTAGTCTTCCTCTGCTCTGGTGATGGTCAGAGACAAGTACTCTTCATTTGGGGATGCTACTAATACTCTTGGCCTCCCTCCATCCACACAATAAATGTTACAGCTAAAGTAACCCCAAGGGTGCCCCATCTACACCTATTAGAAATACAGATTAATAGTTTTCATTTGGACAGAACTGTATAGTAACCAAATCAACCTGAGCTAAAGGTGCCAGCCTAGAATGCCCTGGTAGCCAATGAGATGGCATCTGAGAACCACATAGATCAACAGATGCTGCTTTGTTAAAATTACAAAGCTCAACTGAGTTACCTCTACCTACCTGTACTGGTACTGGTAATGGATGAGGGACTGCAGTGAGCCAGGCCACTAAGAGAAACTTCATGACAGGAGGGAGGCCAGTTGCTGGCCCTCTGCTGAAGACTGGGCTGATGTATTCATCCCAAGAACAGCCTTTTATTTCCTTAGGGAGACTACCATGTCTTAATCACAAAAGCAATAAGAATTTCCAACATGTTCCTTTGCTGTGCTTAATCAGTTGTTCCAGCTGCCAGTCATCAGCTACGTCTGGAAGTTTACTTAAAAGCCCTCTTCCAGCCTTGAAAGCAGTAATGACCCGAGTTGACAATGAAGGCTGCTTTTGTGGGCAGCCTATGTCAGCAGATGTGATCACAACAGTTTTGTTAATATTGCCCTGTATTCTGGAGGGATCAGCTCTCTTCTATATGTTTTGATCGATAGGCTACATTGTGTGCCCATTGGTTGAATTTGGAAAAACATTTTAAATGTGTATGGAAGGAAATTTTTCCTCTTTTGAATGACATTATAGTTTTATTCTAAGGTGGAGATTTTATTCCTGAGGTTAGAAATCACTTGGCAAAACCTGAATATTTGTCTGGAACCATATGTTGTGGTGGGCAAGTCTGTATAAAGTCAGCAGGTATTTAGACTTAAAACATTAGTAGAGATTAGCACCTTCCTAGTGCAGAGTAGGTGCTGGAAAATTGTGTTTGAAAGAATTAATGAATAGAATATTCCTAGACTGTAGTGATATATTGAATTCTAGATGCATTACTGATATGGTCAGAAATTCCTAGAAGTCGGGATAAGAGTCGTTTCCTGTGCCACAGTGTATCATTGAGAGACCAAGGACAATTCTGTTGAAGCAATAGCTCTCTGACTCCAGAATGTCGTCCATTTTATTGGAAGGGTATATGAGATGAGGATAAATGTTAGAAAGCATGCTTAAGTCTCTTGTCACTTTCTCTAAATTTCTGGTCGTCATCTTGGTCACAAGAGACATCTACAATGAGCAGTCATGGCCTGGACTCAGCATGCAAAGTGCTCTCATGTAGATACTGACTCACAAGCTTCTATTAGTTTGTAATCACACCAGAAGAAAGATCTTCCTATACTATAGAAAATAAAGGCAAGCTGTAGGCATTGTTTTGCAGAGAAGTGATTTCCTACACCCTATGTAAGAAACGATTCAGTACATTTTTCAAATCGATTTTAAATTGAACCTTAAAGCCCCTTCTTTCTTCTCATTGGGTCCTAAAAGAGGACCACTGCCCATTTCTGTCCCCTTCACCAGCCACAGCATTCAAGGGGAGGGCTATGGACGTGGGCTTGACTGGTGATCAGTCAACCCAAGCACAGCTGGAGGACACATTCTGGACCCTTAAGCCCTATACCAGGCACCTCATATACCCCACCTAGCATCCCCTTCACCACCTGTTTCTACTGGCCTTTGCTAATCCACCAGGTATAGCTTGGTAGCACCTCTCCTCAACTGTACCATATCCCTCTAGCTTTCTGTGCTGAGGCTTTTCTGATACTCTGATGTTGGGCATCTGAGAACATTTAGCCACACTGGTACATGTGCCTCTGAAAGTGTAAGCAAATTAACCTTGATTGATGGGGGCAAACTTTGACTGATGAAGAGTAGGAGTTAGTAGATAAATGTTCCCTTCTGTCCCTGTCCTAGTCACTGAGCCCCCAAATTCCATTGGCATTTATATCCCCTTCATCCTTATTTACTCAATGAACATGACACACTGTCTGGAGATACAGGCACCAAGGATGTCTTGTTTCCTATCCTGTCTCAGGACCTAGCTCCATGTCTGCCACATGATAGGTACCCCATACATATTTGTGGAATAATTGTTTGCTAAGAGAATAAAAAGAACACAGTTATAACTTTGCATATAGAACAAATATAATTAAGTAGAAAGGGTAGAAGACATCACATAAAAAAAGCACAGCAGATAAATTGTTTTAATACATTTGAGTGTGGTCAGTTGGTTTGGCCAAGGCTTAGGATGCATTGTGGGGTCACAAATAAGACAAGTGTTAAAGTACTTTTAACACTGTCCAAGGATTTACACTAATAGGTCTTGGTACTTTAGTAAAATCAATGAATAGCGGTCTATTCCCTTTACTAAATTACAATTTTCCCAGGGGCGGGAGCCTGCATATAGTACAGTGTCTAGCTTGTAATAGATACTTAATACTGAATATAAAAAATAATGGCTGAATGATAGATGGGTGGATGGATGTATGAGAAGTTAGATGATGGGCGGTCAGATGATAGATGCTTGTTCCTGGCTCTTAGATGAGAGGTCCTAAACCAGTCTTTACTCTGAGTGGCAGGGTACAAGCAATCCCCAATTTCCCAGCCTACATCACTGTAGCTAATGCCAATTGTAGCTAATACAGACCTCTGGGAAGCAGCATACTTTGTTCGACCACAGAGTAGAGCACAGTGTGAACATCAAGTTTTCCTGTTGGCTATTGGGTTGTAAACAGCAGGGACAATGCTTCCTTTGTGATAAACACATGCACATACATTAAAAAAAATCTCTGGTGGGGAAATAAATACTAAGTGCATTCAGCAACTACAACAAAATAGAGCTCACATTTCTACACTGAAGCAAAAAAAGCTAGCTGTGTTTTCACAGTATCTCTGTAACCTTTATTATTCCATTAGATTTTGGAATAGTATATAAAACACCAAGCTCCATGCTGACGAACACCAGTTTTGAAACTATTGCCACAGTCAATCCAAACAGCCTTCTCCCCTGGGTGTAAAATTATTTGGAATACAAGAATAATTGTGGTTCCCTTAGCTAGCTGAGCATAAATGAGGGTAGTGATTCATAAGGTGACTAGTGAGTTTACAAATATGCAACTCGTATGGAAGCTGACGCACGCAACAGAAGCTTAGCCTTGACTTTCTGAGCTGGTAAGCATTTTCGGGCCTTTCCACCTCTTTGGAGGACTGGTGGATACAGCCTTCTGAGAACAAGACTTAACCTGACAGAATGCTGACTTACCAGAAATAAACCCTTCAAATCAGATCACACCCCTGTCAGTAGCTTTTTGAGCGGGAAGATGGTAATTCTGCCTCTTCACATGTTCCTTGAAATACTTGAACTCTTGTTCCATTGGATGAAGCTTTTGGGGGCTGGGTCATTTGGGGTACTCATTCTATCCTGGAGAGGCTGGGGAAAAGTGGTACCGGTATAAAAATACAACTCCCTGAACTTTTAAACCCTCAAATCTTTTTGATAATGTGGCTTCTCTTAATCCTGAACCTGATTTCTTTTTAAAAAATCATTTATTCTTTGATATCAGTAAAGTTCAAAAAGAACAGAAATGGGTATAGAGCTCAGCATAACTTTGTACAAAGAAGGAAGTTAAAGAGAATCGGCCTAATGCTGCTGCTATGGTTGCAGCATAATGAGACGTCTACGGAGTAGGTCCCAGACACTGAGGGAGCCTTTCTGATAGACTCTGAAAGGGACTAGCCCCAGTTTCTTCGATGACATCGTACCAATTAGTGGAACTAAATGGGCACATATTCACATTCGAGGTCGCATACAGTTCTTGAAGGCTAGGCTGCCCCTACAAATGGGGCTGTAATTCACTGTGTCATAACAGGCAACAGTGGGTAAAAGATTCCAGAGCTGTGTTTTCATAGTTTGACTCCTCTTCTGATGAAGGCCAGGTATATTCATCACACCACTAGGAAAATATCCTGGGTTAGTTAGACTCTTAAGTTAAAAGAGTGTAGGATACTATGTGTCTGCTAGGATCAGCGAAGCTCCAGTTCTCATTACATTTAGTAGTGACAGAGGGGCCCCAGCCGACCCACCATGGCTCACTACAGTGGTGAGAAGAGGAAAAAGGCCTGTGCTGTGCCCTTCTCAGTCAGCTGACCAAATATTCTGTTACCTGACTCTCTCCTGTGACTGAAGAGTGCTAATGCAGAGGCCTTGGCACAGATGCAAATGGTACAAGATTGACTAATTATACAGTGTCCAGACAGGGAACTGGCGGGGCACAGCAGCATTTAGGAGACAGACCGAGAACGTCAGCCTGAAGCGAGCCAAGCGTGAGCTCCGGAGGAACCTGTTCCACCACGAAAATAAAAGCTGTGTGTACCCAAGAAGGCGAGAACTGTTCCCTGAAAACCACCCAGAGAAAAACAAGCCCCTCAAATATGCTTGCTGTCAGCCTTCGGTATTTAAAAAATGTGGGCTTCCTTGGGGGCACGGTCTCATGTTTGTTCTCCCTTGATTTCAGCTCCCATTTTCTCCAGCAACTATTCAAGCCGAAGTGGAACAGCTGCTGGGGCCGTGCCACCCCCACATCCTGTCAGTCACCCTTCTCCGGGACATAATGTACAGGGGAGCCCCCACAACCCCTCCTCCCAGTTACCTCCTCTCACAGCTGTGGACGCGGGAGCTGAGAGGTAAGGCCATCTGTCTCTCTCCTAATAGGTGTCGCCGCCAAACCTCCCTCCAAGGAGAAGTGCTTTGACAGTTGCTGAATTTTATTAATAATCCGTTGGTGGGTTGAGTTACCCAAAGGTGACATTTTAAAAGTACACACACAAAGCACATGGACCAAATATCTCATTATCTGTTTTATTTTTTCACGGGAAAACAAATGAAGTGATATTGGCAATAGCCAGCTGAAGTTTCAAATGCTGGAAACACACCAGAATTTCCCTGTATTTCTACCTTTGTTCGGTCTGTTTCAGAGACCCAGTTTTAAGATAATGTATGTGCAGGTTGAAACACCTTCCCAATGTCGGATGGTGCTCTCCCCATATAAATCAGTATTGTTAGGGCACAGGATTTTATATAGGCTGTTCACTGAATACTCCATATTAGTATCACTCTCATAAAGGACTTCTGGGAGAAAATTTTTAAACTATGATGTTCATATTTTTATTTCCAAATTCTTCATTAGCCACAGAGGCCTTTTGAGGCCCTTCATACTTCTTCCCAATCTCTTGTGTGCTTCTTGGGACCACAAACCAAACAGGAGTCCGCATCTCTTGCTTCTCCATCCCCTTCCCCTTTTGTGGAGCAGGTTCTAATGAACATCCCTTGCCTAAGGGCAGATGTATGGCTGCATCAGTACAGGGAGCTTTGGAAGAAGGTCAGACGCTTCAGTCCTCTTCTAGCTGCCCAACACACCTCGTGTCACCTTTCTCCGCTTGTCATCTGGCTTGAGTTGACCTACCTGGGGGTTACTCCCAGACATCCACAGGATAAAAACTTGTAGGGACTCTGTGCAAGGCTGGACTAGTGGGCAATTGATTGAATGGGCAGCAGGAATAAAAGTTTCGAATCTTGGATTTCACCAGCAGTCTCAGGTTCCATCATTGTTGGCCTGACATATGAGTTTGTTAGTAGGTGGTTTTAATTCTGATAAAGCATATATTTTATTGATACCTTCCTCCCTTTATTAATACTTTAATGAATGTCTGTTGAGTACCTTGTATGTGTCAGACACTGTGTTGGATACTGGAGTCTAACAGGTAATTAAAACATGCTCCTGCCCTTACAGGTTTGAATGGTGAGGACAGGCATGCAAATGAAGTATAATAAGGCTGTTTGGTTAAATGATGAAACAAATAACACAGGAGCCTAAAGAGGATGTCCCTAAATCTGTATTGGGGAGTAAGGGAAAGAAAGACAGCGATGTAGGCATTGAAGGAAGACTAAGGCTTTTCTGGATGCCTCAATGGGGGCAGCATCCCAGGCAGCAGGAAGAACATATGCAGGATGTGAGTAACAGAGGACACCGCCAAGGGAGGTCTCAGTAGCTTGGGTGACAGCATCCAGGCGTACATGCCTGATGACGTCGGATAATGGTAGGTTGGCTCATATGGGTCTCTGTATTTGATGCTAAGGACTTTACCCCTTAGCCTACTGGGAGTGAAGAACCATTATAGGCTTTTAGGAGAGACATACAAGCAGATTGACATTGCAGTGAAAGAATCCAGGTGACATGATAGTGCAATAACTGAACCTGGAATGAGACAAGGTGGGGGTGGAGGTGGGGAACAAGAAGAATATTGCAGGAGTCCTTGTAAGTAGTATGGTTACTTGAAGCAGGGTGAAGCAGTGAGGATGGAGAATATTCAGGAGGAGTTATTTAGGAGCAGAATGACTAATCATTAACATATGTGGAGCAAAGAGGAGGGACCAAAATTCGCTTATGAGTTCTACCCTTAGACACCAAGATTGGGCCATTAATAGAAACTGAAAAATGCAAAAACCATGTGGTATTGCGGAGGAATAAACAATACTGAGTGGAGGGAAAGAGGAAGAAGGAATAATAAATTGACTTTTAGGAGTTAGAGTTCTAGGTGGTTATAAAGATCCATGTGGATAGGTCTGATGGGCAATTAAAAATATGAATCAGAAGATGTTGGACCATTTAAAAATGGTTCTATGGACAAGGTAAAGTATAAATAAATCATTAGCCTCCTCACATAAGACCTGTCAGCAATGCAGCACAAGTGATAACCGTTATGTTCAGACAATGGGGACAGGAAATGTTTCCCTCCACTTACCTATTTTTATAAATTAAGACTTTTTTTTTTAAGCATTTTATGTAGTTTTCTTTTGGGTTCTAAATGCTATTAGCCATCATTTCATTCTGTCTGGCTGAGAATCTTACTCCACAATGTTTTGAAGCTCAGAAATGATCAATTGGAAACTCCCTTTACTGCATCTCCTTATCCATAGTCATAACTCTTAACGAGAATATAAGACAAAAATAATAGTCTCCTTTTTGTACACAGCCCTTAAAAGAATACATGTAGAGAAAGATTTTACTGATTATCACAGTCAAAGACAACGACTATCATAACCCTAATGCCTGAAGTTTGCATCCCGGTTCTGACAGTTGCTAATTGTTTGGCTGAGGGCAAGTTCCCTAGCTGCTCCTGCTGCTTGAGGTTTATGTGTTTCTTTTAACATTTTATTTTGTATTTTTTATTCCTTCTGAAAGTTTTAACATAAAAAATGGCAAGAGTAGTACAACGAATACCCACACTTACACCCTGCACTCACATTCATCCATTGTCAATATTTTGCCATTCTTTACCTCTGTCTGTCTCATCTTTGGGAATACCTTGTTTTCTTGCCTATTGTTGAAGAACCATTTGACAGATGGTTGCAGATATCACTGAGCTTTACCCCTAATAACTTCGGTAGGGATCTCCTAAGGAGGACATTTCCTATATAAACCCAATATAATAATCACATTCAGGAAATTTAACTTCAATATAATGCTATTCTCTAATAGTTACTATTCAGATTTCCCCAATTTTGTGAATGTTTTTTTGTAGCTGGAGTTTTGTTTTAGATCTCTTATTAGGGATCTAATAAGGATCTCACAATGAATTTTATTTTTCATCTTCTGGAATCTAATGAAGTTCTCCAGCTTTTTATCTTTCAGGGCATTGACAATTTTTGAAGAACTCGGGACATTTATTTTACAGTGTTCCAGTGTTCCATGGTTTGGATTTGTGTAATTGTTTTATCCTATAAAGATTCATTGTAAATATTTTTGACAGGACTACCATATAGATGATGTGGTATGTCTTAGCTTTTTTGGAGATTTAGATTGCACCTATGGGGAATTGGGATTAAATAAACCAAAGTAGGTAAAGTGCCTAGCAAGTTACATGTGTGAAGCAGGCCTTTCATAGCTGTGGATACTAGCATATAAAGGCAGGCAACTTTGGCATAGCTGAGTGATTCGGTTTGAAAGTCAGAGGATGTTGTTAAATGGTCCTAGTGGCTGATAATGTAAATAATCATGGAAGGGGAAATGGAGAGGAAGGAGGTACTTTATATGATGGGGGAATGAAATGGACATTAGCACTTTGTGGTTTTGCTTTGCTGCTATATTCTCTACTGGATGTGTGCCCCATCCCTTGCCTGCCCAGCTGGAGTGGGCAAGTGTGGCAGGTTCTGTCTTCCGATCAGGTTTGGAAAGGAGGATGACATGAAACAGCCCTGCCTTATTCACCAGGTTTGCATTAGTGTCCAGCATAAAAACACTGAGAGGAAATGTGCTTACCTTCCGCTTTTGGTTTGTATATCTTTGCCTCTGTTTGCCTGGGAAATCCCCCAGTAAAAACTCCAGCAGTTTTCTTAACGGAAATAAGTTTATCACACTCTGCGATTTTTAGTGGGAAACTGGCATCTTTTCCTGCTTTGCGGGCGTTGATTCATCATTTACTTAGCTTTAACATGCTAAAAAAAAATGGGCTGAGTCACTGTCAGAAGTCAGGAAAGGTCCACCACATCGACCCAGTTAGCATCAAGTTTTTTGATCCTTACCATCATAAAATAAATCCAAGTAATCTCAATCTGACAAGACTCCATTTTTATTTTGAAATATTATTGGAATGACACATTATTTCAGTGATCTTAAGCAGCACACCACATCACCTAATGTTGATTTAACTTATTACGGGAAGTGGTGTTTTACTATGTCTTGTTGAATGAGCCAGTGGCACCTTGTTTATGACAGTGGCTTCCCATGAGAGGAACTCGGTCTTTGGAAATGTTAATTCATTGAGTTTCGTAGTATGTCGGTTACACCAGATAAAACAAACAAAATATTGACAGGAGTCTTTGAAATGGAGAAATCTTACAGTTCCAAGAATAAATCCTCTGAGTTTGTGTTACTAATCTTCTTACAAGAGAATGTCATCTGCCTCCATTCTGAAGACCACAAATGTGTACTCTGTCGTGCGGGTGATAGAGCTGAAGGAAGCCTGTGGATTGACCATAGTGGAGAAGCTTATGAAGAGCTCCTTATGAGCCCATGGCTGAGCCTGAAAAGTCTGAAAAGAAAGTGTAAATGTGAGGAAAATGCTTTTCTGTTCTCCGACTCAACAATCGACACAGAACAGAATGCTTCTGTAACCAAATGCATGGAGGTTTTCACCCAACCCACAAAGCTCGCAGTCAGTTCTGCAGTAGATATCAGCTGAGTGTCCTCTAATTGCAATCTGTTTTTGGAGAGTGTCAGATTCCACAGGTGGAGGACACAGTTCCACAAGACTGCCCCTACTTCTGATGCCAGTTGCAAGATCCTGGGTGGTTTTGCCTGTACATCTCACTGACTATAAATCAGGGCTCTCACAGCCCCCTCCTTGGGTTCTATTTGCTGAAGCAGTTAACAGAACTCAGGGAAAAACATTTACTGGTTTATTATAAAGGATACCAATGAAAAGATGTATAGGTCAAAGCATATGGGAAGGGGCACAGAACTTCCATGCCCTCTCCAGGCTTACCACCCTCCAGGAACCTCCATGTATTCAGCTATGCAGAAGCTCTCTGAATTCTGTCCTTTTGGATTTTTATGGAGGCTTCATTACATAGGCTTGATGGATTAAATAATTGGCCATTGGTAATCAATTTACTCTTTGGCCCC